ACACTTTTGAGAAAGTGTCATATAAACTCATTTTTTATAGGACACTTGTTTTTATAAGACAGTTTTTCAAATAGTGTCCTATAAAGTTGCTAATGAGACGTTTTATATTAAAAATGTCCTAAAAAACTTATTGCGACGTTAAGAAAACTCATATAAACTTATTATAACACCTTTAGATATGACACTTTATTTTTTTGGTCCTATAAATTAAGTCTTATAAATAGGTCTATTAGGACGCTTAAAAATTGAGAATGTCCTATAAACCCAATTTTATTGTAGTGATGTACACACAAAAAAACATAAATTAAAAAATAGCAGGTAATTTAGATTTTTCAATTTCCTTTAATGTTAAACGCCTTTAATACAAATTTTACAAATAATTTAGTAACCAGGTGACCTGCTTAACCTTTAACAAGTCATCGTTTATTGATATGCATCTTTTTTTTATTAACTTGGATATCCAACCCGCTATGCGAGCCGACTAATCCCAGAGCGACCACCTTCTTTGCAGATAGCCCGGAGTCACCGCATTTGAACCTCCGTAGCCACAAGGGGATTTTTATTCCTTATTAGATTTGAACCTGGAACCTCCTGGTACTTTTGATATTGGGAGCCAAACTCAAACCAATCAGGCACCACCCTTGTGGTTTAATATGTTACCTTTAAAATACTTAAAAATAAACAAAAAACTCATCATTTTTTGTTGACATGATAAATGACAAGAATTTTTTTTACATAAATTTAAAAGTAATAAATTCATGAAGATTTTGTGCTTTAAAAATATGCTCAACGTACGTCCCGTAATTGTTATTGTTGGGATACTTCGTTTTGGAGATTTATCTAAGGTTTTATCTAAGGTTTCAATCTTCGTAAGATACAAAATGTTTAAGTTAAAGGTGATCAGAAAAGGTTTAAAAAATACTTATATTTAAATTAAAAATCAATGTTATTTGATAAATTGTGAAATGATACTGATTTACAAAGCCACATCAGCATATCAGATCATTAGGTCACATGGTCCCTAAATTATTTGCAAAGTTTATTTAGGCCCTGAAATAAAGGTTTTTAAAAGTTTATTCCACAAAATACGAATTGACTCAAAAAAATTTCTATTTTAGTGCAATTCGCCCTGATAATACCAGTAAAATAATACAACATAATATAATATAATCAGATTATTCATCGTTTATAAGTGTTTCAAGTTGATTTTGCACAATTTCCAGAATGTGACAATTATGGTTGAAAAAAAAATGCATTTTCATTAGTTTCATGATCATCTTAATTTGGTTTGCACGTTTGTTCCTTATCGCATCTTTTTCTTTCAAGGTCATGGTGGGTTCTCTAATCAACTCTGTTTTTTTCCTTCTCGAATGTCCTTGTGTTGTCTCTATGTCGGTTTTAAATTTTAATAGCACCGATTAACAAAAGACTATTTTTACCTTTACCGTCTTAGGGGGTGTTTGAGATTGTTTATAAAAACAACTTATTGACTTATTTCGGTGTGGTACCGGTAATAAGCACTTTTAAGTGTTTGGATAAACAATGTTAGAATATGGCAGATTTTCTCTAATAATATAAACAAAATTGAGGACGTGATAATCACTATCCTTAAAGAATATTAGCCTCCACTATTTACGCTGGTGGTTCGAGACCAATTTCTTCCCAGAATTCAACCTCAAATAACATAACTTTATGCAGCGTACATAAAGTTCACATGAACATCAAATGATTGCAATTTTGTATGTTTTGAAAGTGTATTAGATTATGTTATACATTCATACAACCATATGCACCCTTATATAACAGTTAAAACGAACCAACATGACTCTTCATGAATCAACACACCTTTTGGAAAGTCAACTGCCAAAAAGTAATTAACATAACTTTCAAACATTTGACTGGAATAGTACTTATTAACACACTTTAACTTTTCTCATCCACCTATGTGGGATACATAATACACAAAATTGTAGATAAAACCCATAAGTTTCAACAAACAACTTATGCCGGTGCCAAATCAGTAATAAGAAGTTTTTGAAGAAGTTAAACCCTTCTAACTTATAATAGTTAATACCAAGTGCATGATGATGTTTAAGTCTAAAAGATTGTGTTTACACACTTTTGAATTAATCTCTTCGTAATTTCCTTTCTTTATCAATTAGAACTCTCTAAAATTTATATATGATATATTAACCATAAGGATGGTGCCCGATTGGTTTGAGCTTGACTCCAAAGATCAAAAATGCCTGGAGGTCTCAGTTTCAAATCCAAGAAAAAATAAAAATTCCCTTGTGGACACGAAGGTTCAAATGCGGTGACTCCGGGCTGCCTGCAAAGCAGGTGGTTGCCTTGAGATTAGTCGGTTCGCATAGCGGGTTGGATATCCAGGTTAATCAAAAATATCCCGAGTTCTTAAATTTAAATCTCGTACATGTTACAGTTCCTCCATAAATTACAAAAACCGTAAATTTTCACACATATACAACTTTAAAACATATATTTTTTTTTAATTTTTACCTTTTTTTAAATGCACATAAATTGTAATTGTAATTTATGGATTAAGAGAAAGAGGTAGCATTAAATAAAAGGAATGAATGAATGGATGCAAAATTAAATAGGGAAGGGAACATGAGTCACGATACCAATAAATGCCTTCAAATTCAACTCCCCACATCTCCTTATCAACATATTTACAACTCATGTCTCTCAATGGTTCCTATTGCAAGGTCGTGACCCTCCTCAAACCTACACCCATAACTCATTAATATACCTTCAATATCCTCACATAATAGGCCTAATTTAGGTTTTATTCTTAATGAATTAAGACGTGTATCTGTAAGCACGCGGTGCAAAAGCTTCCAACTCTTTTAACGCTTTTTGTCCAAATGATAGAAGATATAGATGAGTAATGTTGAACCCAGATCGTTTGGATTGGTAACGTGTAACGCTTTGGTGCTAGTTTTTTTTTTACTATATTAGCTACGTATTGAACTTCGCTGCTGAGAAATGATTATTACGTGTTTGTGTTCTAGTAAAATACAACAACAGTTGGTATTGTGTTTGATTACGTATGTTCGTGTTTATGGTCCGTTGGAACAACAAAAGATAGGGTGAATTTTATGCATGTAAAAGGAGTTTGCAACTTTGGTTTCTAACTTTCAAAACATTTTAGTGGGGGTGTGCAGAAAAGCATTCAATCCAATTTAATCTGATCGACTAATTAGAACCAACTGACCATAATTGGATATCCAATCATAATTGGATCCAAGTTTTTAACATCCAATTGGATCGGTCCGTTCTTGGATGACAACACAGAATTCAGTAAAAACTGAATCGATCCAATCCAACTATCATCTGATTATTAACTATATATAATTATTAATTTTTTTTTATAGTTTTATAATTTGTACTTATACATAGTGGTTTTTATTAAATTAAGAAAATTTATGAATAATTAATTGAAACGGTTGATTAATTGGTTAAAAATGTATCAGAATAGTGGATTGATCATTCTGATCCAATTAATAATCAATAATAAAGATAAAATGAACGTATCTTGATTCGATCCAATATTCATTAAATTAGAATAAATCGAATCTCCATTGTTAATTGAATTGGATTAGATGATACAATCTAAAATACATTAAATAATTGAATCAGATTGGATTTATCTAAACTCATTGAATTTTAACCGATAAGGATCCCTGATTTTATACAATCGCTATATTTATTTAATTTTTTAATATTTGAGGATATTATTACGGCAGAGGGTAGACATTAAGAGGCAATTTCTGAATCGTTAATAGGTGAATCTTGTTTAGCAAAAAAAGTCTGTCTTTTAATGGTTCTAATACCCTCTTAATGATTTTGTATCATGGATCTCCCTTAACCATTAAGAGCTCTAATTTCATTGTATACAATTACCAAACAATTATATTTCATTTTGCATTATATCATGAGAGCCTCTTAATCATTTTGACCACTTAATCATTTTACACCAAATCATTCATCAATTGTCAAACAACCCTCTCTATAATTATAATAGATTCTCAATGTAGAGGTTTGTGTTTTTAAAGAATATAATAAAAATAAAATCAAACAATTTAGTATATATTAAAAAAGTATTCATGTAATACAATGAAATAAATCTTGATTTTAATATTTTATTTTATTCTTGTCTCTATTAAAGTTATAACATGATTTTATATGATTTTGAGAAAATAATAATATTTTTATTTTTAAATAAAATATAAATTTGAAAATATTATAAATTTTTTAAAAAGAATATATAAATTTAAAGATATTATAAAAAAATAAAAAATAAAATATCGATATTAGTTTCGAATTAACTATTTAAAAGTTTTCATATTTTTGTATGATTTCTTATTTAATTTTTTATTGCAAGTTAACTTAATAACGAGATAATTTATTTTTGTTTTAATAATATATATAATTTTTTTAAAAGATAATAATTACGTATTATGTTAGAACTCAATGATTATTCTAATTATATTTTAAATTTTTTATATTTAAAATAAGATGTTTAACCTTGTATTTAATTATACTTATATGTATTTCGTTACACAAACTTCAAATGTGAAGCTTTAATAATTTTTCATTATACATAATCTACTTATAATCTTGAATTTTAAGTAAAATGAATAAATAAATAATGATTTATGTATAAAAAAATGGTTTTTAAGAATTTTTGATAAATATTTTCCAATATATTATAGATAATATTTTTAAGTGGTAATAATTACATTTCATTGAAATACTAATTTAACATTTGAAGAAAAATAATATTTAATTCGATTAATTTTTAATTCTCGATTTAAAATAAAATATATAATATATATCATCATTTTATACACCTAATTTATGAATGTATTATAATTAATAAAGCCGCCATATACAAGTATTAATTTTGTCCTTTCTGGCTCTCTCCGTATATGTAAACAACTTTCAAGAAGTGTTGTGTATTCATATTCAATTCATCATTTCCAGTTGTGAAGAAATATGCAAAAAGCAAAAATGGAGAAACAACCACAAACCCTAAAACGCCAAGTATGGGATTGTGAAAGCTCTCTTTACGACTCTTTCGAACTCAAATCCTTCGAACGACGTCTCGATTCTGCCATCTCCTCCAGAACCATGTCAATGCCCCATCTCTCCTCCTCCATCCGCCATCAACCACCACCGTCCCACCACAAACCCACCTCCAAGAAACCTTTCAGACTCACCCGCTCCCTCCACAAGCTTCTCCGATCAGTTTTCCGGCTTAGACCAAACCACCATAGCTCATCAAGAGATGAAGCCTTCTACGTTTATGACACATCCACTGCTCTTTCCACCATACCGGAGCTGCCGGAGATGGTGCCGGAATTTGATGGGCTTTCACCGGACATGAAGTCTCTGGTGACGAGAACGGGATCTGATCGATTTATGCCAACTTCTCTCGGTATATCATGTGCTTGACATTTACAAAGACTTCATTTACCATATATATACATGACAGTCATTAATCATAGAATTATATTTGATGAGTATATATAGGATATATCTCGTATTATACTTTAATTGTATGTTTAATTTTAACAAGTATGTAATTAACCAAATTCTTGATTAATATTATAGGAGTTGATCAAGTCAAAATATTTTGGTAAAGAGTAGGTGTAGCATATCGTGGATGACTTTTGACTATGTTGGTATATACAATCACTTAATTGCATACATACATATATATATATATATATATACACATACATACACACACACGCGATGGATGTATAAATCTAAATGTTGAATACAAATAATTAAATATTTGATCCGAAAGATGTTATTATATATGTGTAGGTGTGTGTCGGTTAGCATTAACTTATGATCGTAGCTATTGAAAGTTCATGATTTTTTCAATCGTGATTCATGTAAAATGAAGATATGTAAATCGTTGATGTTGCATTAATTGATCTCTAAAGTGGAATACATAAAAAGATAATATTTTTAGGATTAATGTTTCTTTTAAATATTGGTTAATTAATTGGTTGGATGCATTATTAAGTTATCTTACCTTTGTAAATTGGAAAATATATATAACTACCAAATTTGAATTTAATTCTATTTGTTAAATACGTTACTATATATATATATATATATATATATATATATATATATATATATATATATATA